CGACAAAACATGGAGTGGTTTCGTCTTCATATTATAAGTTCTACGACGACGACGCAGAAGTTTTCCAGCTATCAGATAGATGCAAAGCTCTGGTTTCCTATTTCAAAATAAAAGCGAACTGCAAAATAATTTGGAGAATACGCTAAAACAAGAAAATGTAACTCATTAGAATTCTCAGCTACGACTTTTAGAGAGGATACTCAACTCTTTGATGAGGTTACAAGTATCTTAGCTGCACGTGGCAAGTTGGTATACACTAACTGCATCGATAAACCACTTTTGGAGGAACTCATCGCATTCCTTCACCGTTTCCGAGAGAACACTGTAACTGGAGTACTAAAACGAATCTAAGCTGCATCTAGTAGTACACGAACTCCACAATATTATCTGCCATCTTTCCCCACAAACGAGGGGGACATGGTAGATAAATTGACTCGTAAAGTGCTGGATGGGCCGTTTGCAATTGACAGCCCCCAGAATATCGATACGATTCCTCCAGATAGCAGCAACTTGGTGAAAATTAAAAGTTGATGCAGCTCATTCGATGCCCATATGGAAGTTGGATTTGCACCATTAGATGGCAGCTCTACTTGATTCACGCCAGAAGTGTAGACTAAAACAATTGGTGTTTCGTTGACAGATATCAACAAGGCAAAAGACCAATTGGTAGCGATGATGAACGCGCAGTCTGTAACCAGAGCAGCAGCTGCCCGTTCTGTTCGCCGTGTAAACAAGAAGCGGATGACGCCGAGGTCTTCAATCATTGTTGCAATAGCTTATTTGTATTCGTCATATGAGAGTGGTGACGAAATTGTGGTAAGCGAGAACCTTGATGAACAGGCTGAATTGACAAGTACATGAGCTAGTGGAAGACGTGGACGAAGATGACGACCGTGTCGAAGAACAGGTAGATGCTTTCGAAACCTGCAGCACGTCCTTCTGTGCATCAAAATTGCGGGCAATCTTGGGTTCAAAGTTGAGGATGGCGTCGAACCCGCAGTAGCCGACAACACCGCCGGTAAATGGTACATTGAGCCCCAGTATCGTCTCCATACGGAAGTTCTTCATCTCTTGCTCGAGGTTGATGAGTGGGTCGCTTTCGAAGGCCTGTCCTTTGTATGTGGGCTAGCACCGATGAGCGAGTAGCGTGCGATTTTCTCACCAGGAGCCACATTTACGACCAGGAACAAGTGCATCTAGCTCTTGCGCAGCTTCAGCAGCGCGGTCACGGGCGTGTCGAGGTCGGCGAGAGCATCCAGGTACACAGACCCGAGTTTCTTGTCTGGGTTCGCCTGTTGTAGCTGCGCGGCGCGCTTCATTTGCGGCTGGAAGGACATTATGGCAGCGCGGCTTGTCGTGTTGCGATCTACATGAACCCGAACTTTCGAGACGGCCACTACACAGAGGACGCTCCTCCGCACAGTTGACTTGCGCTGG